CGGGTTTGAGACCCAAGCACTGCACAACGGGTGAGCTCCTGTTCCCTTGCCCCTGCCCTCTGGTAGTACAAAAGCATGCAAATAAATATGAGCCAGCAGTGTGCTGCAGCTGCCAAAAAAGCCAACACAGTGCTGGGCTGCATTAACAGAGGGATAGAATCAAGATCACATGAAGTGTTAATACCACTTTACAAGGCCTTGGTAAGGCCACACTTGGAATATTGCATCCAGTTTTGGTCACCACGATGTAAAAAAGATGTTGAGACTCTGGAAAGAGTGCAGCGAAGAGCAACAAAGATGATCAGGGGACTGGAGGCTAAAACATATAAGGAACGGTTGCTGGAATTGGGTATGTCTAGTTTAATGAAGAGAAGGACGAGGGGGGACATGATAGCAGCCTTCCAAGATCTCAGGGGCAGGACTAGAAGCAACAGAACTGTTGCACCTGAAGGTAGGACTAGAAGCAACAGATGGAAACTAACCAAGGAGAGAAGCAATCTAGAACTAGAAGAAATTTCCTGACAGTGAGGACAATTAATCAGTGGAACAACTTGCCTCCAGAAGTTGTGAATGCTCCCAACATTGGAGGTTTTTAAGAAGAGACTGGACAACCACTTATTTGAAATGGTATAGGGCAGGGGTGTCAAACTGCTGGCCCATGGGCCGGACGGGTCACGCGGAAGCCGCACCCACCACATTGCTGGCAATGGCAAAACAGTCCTGATACGTCACACGATGTCACATGACGTTGCGAGTTTGACATGTCTGGTATAGGGTTTCCAGTCTGAGAAGAGGGTTGGACTAAAAGACCTCCAAAGTCCCTTCCAATTCTGTTATTCTGTAATCAAATGTGAGTAGATCAATAGGTACCACCTTGGTGGGACGTTAACAGCATTCTGTGTGACTTTGGTGTATAGCCATGCTGGCCACATGACCACAGAAAATGTCTTCTGACAATGCTGGCTCCCTCAGCCAAGAAACGGAGATGGGTGCTGCCCCCTACAGTCGGACATGACTGAACAGGGGAAATCTGTACCTTTAGTTGGAATGGTTGCCAAGAGAACTAAGTTCTGTCTCAAGGCCACGATGTAAGAAAGTCCTTGCACACCCCCGAGAGCAGGTGGGAAGACGAGAGAAGAACTAGAATTGCTCTTTCACCAATTCTCAATGCTGTGCGGTCTTAAGAACAGCTGCAATGCAGATGTGGCAGAACCTAGCCAGATTTTGCTGGTTGTCTTATCAGAGAAAGCTGGAAGGGGCCCATTTAAAAAGAAGGGCTCATCTGTTGCTGATTTCTCAGCTGAGGGGGGGAGAGTAGCCCCATTTTCCACTCTTCTCATTCCGGTCCTCCAATCTGATGACACCCCAGATGGATCTGGAGACGCTCCTGCTGAAATGTTAACCATGATAAACATCCCTGGATTTCAGCAAGACAGGTGATCCTGTGCTGAACACTGCAGAGCCAGAAATAGGATATTGCTGTAAATTTAGTCTTTTCACACCGAAAAGATAAAGTCAGAGCCATGAGCTCCACTCCTGCAATATGTCTTCAGATAGTCCTTGGGTTAGGACCATTTATTAGGGGACCATTCAGGTTGGTGATGGAGGGGTCCAAGGGAGACTTACAACTGGTCCTCAAGAGTTCCGATCATCATAGCATCCAGACGTCCATAAGTCTTAAAGTTGACAAGGTTGGACACCCCTGTTTTTAAGCAAGTACCATTGCAAGATCTGAGGGAAGACCCTGCAATTGAGGGTCTTTATTACCCATTTGACCCCATTCTGCCTGGAACAAAGTGAGCACTTGAGATAGATTCAGCTTGATCCAGTTGTAGATCAAGGAGAGAAGCAACCTAGAACTAAGGAGAAATTTCCTGACAGTGAGAACAATTCATCAGTGGAACGGCTTCCCTCCAGAAATTGTGAATGCTCCAACACTGGAGGTTTTTAAGAAGATATCGGACAGCCATTTGTCTGGAATGGTATAGGGTTGACTGCTTGTGCAAGGGGTTGGACTAGGAGACCTCCAAGGTCCCTTCCAACTCTGTTATTCTATATTCTGCCCCTTTAATCCTGTTCCTTAAGGATTTTAAGAGTTTAGTCGATTTTGATAAAAACAGTTTCTTCCTTCTATTTTTCCTCTAATAATATTGGCGATACTCACATCTGCCAGCTGCTTAGCCTTTGCTGAGCACCAACAGTTCAGTTCCACTGCACAAACATTTTTTCCTGAAAATAAAACACAACTTTTGCACAGCCAAAAGTTTTCGTTTGGGTAACTGCTCCCCTAAGAATTAACTTGCTTTGAGACCCACAATTTACAATGCTGTTAACTGGAATTATGTTTGAACTCCAGACGTCCATGTTGAGTTTATCTATAAATCTACCCTCTTGCCCCAGGCCTCTAATTTATTTCTCCAAGGTAATAAATTCTTCAGGAATAGGCACCCAAGAGTATTTTAAAACCCACAAGACTTTAATTCTCCTTTGTTAGTTATAATCTCTTTCTCTGCAACAGATGGGCACATGCCGATATTGTAAGGTTGAAAAGCATAGAAAATGACACAATGTCGTATTGAAAGCAGATGGTTACCATTTCAAAATAGTTTTATTAAAATTGTGCAACTTGGTTCCTTGTTTATGATTGCTGGTGTCCCCGTTGAAAAGTAGATGTAATTTATGAGCCTTTACATCAGGATAAATGTGTGAGCCTTTAAGGCATCTCAAAAATAATGGTGGTTTCAAAGCCTACTCAGATAAATCAGCTCAATTCAGTCAATCACCTGATTGGTACACAATAAAAAGAAGAAAGAGAAGAAAGGGAAGAGGAAATCAAATATTCGCATCTGTGTCCAGGAAATTGGAACAGGTAAAGCAGAGGTCTCCAACCTTGGCAACTTTACAACTGGTGGACTTCAACTCCCAGAATTCTGGCTGGCTGAGGAATTCTGGGAGTTGAAATCCACAAGTCTATAAAGTTGCTAAGGTTGGAGACCCCTGAGGTAAAGGACAAAGGTAAATTTGATAGGACCACTTACCCAAAAGGGAAATCCTCATTTTCTTCATTGAAACCAGTAGATAATGGAGGAGGAGGAGGAGGAGGAGGAGGAGGACTGTGGGGTACTTGGTGCTCTCTGAGCTTGGCAGTTTTCTTGCACACATTTCATGACCCAACTAGGGAACATCATCAATGCAGAAGGGAGGGGGTTTAGGCTGAGTTATCCTTTCCCCCCATCCCTGTTAACCAGACCATACTAAAAACATTTGTTATTCTGGATTTGGGTCAGTTTGGGCTGTTTTAGTTATCACGTGTGTTGACTTTGCTCAGAACAGCCTGTACTTTTCGCTGGGACAGCTGATCTACGTCTATTCAAATATAACAAAAATTATACTTGGCCTATAAACAACAGTCCCTTTTTAAAATAAGAGTCGGTTAGGCTAGGCTAATCCAAAACCCCAAACTCTTTAGAGATCGTAGCCTTTCAAGTGACCTAGAAAACGGCACATTATTGGAGTTGTCTTTTTCAGGAAGAATACCACGTCTGTATATTTAACCTTTAAAGCTGCAGGAGAGATCTTCAAAAAGCCAAAATCAGCTTTTTTTCAGACCCGAAGTCCATGTCCAACACCCTGGTGGATTGCTTGTCCTTCCAAAAGACTGAACAGGACTTGAGGGCTGTTTTTTTTTCTTTTAAAGAAGCCAGCAGCCAACCTGAATTCTCGCCTCAATTGCTGGAGAAGTAGCAAAAATGTTCACCTTCACGGAAGTCGGTTTTGCTTAGAAGCTGCAACTTTCTGTTTTAGAAGAAGAAGAAAAAAAAAAAACCGTTTGTGTGACGGCTGCCACAAGGGAAGGAGGTCTTTACCCACTTGGGTTCCTGCCAATCTGTGGTCTTTCTGAGGCTCTAGCTGGTTCCACCTCACTTCCACACGGGCTTTGCAAATATTTGGGTAGGAGAAGCCTACAAAAGAAACGCCCTCACTTCGGCCCCTGGGAGAACGTGCTTAAAAATGTACGGAATCAGAGAACCGCCTGCTGTAATGTATGCTTTTTTGGGGGGGGGGGGAATGCATGCTTTGATCAGAGGACTGCAACACAAGATGAAGAGAGCTGCATTCAAGGTTGGAATATTGGCCTGGAAAATAATAGGTGCCATAATTCCCTGCTTTTCATTGCTCCTTGTAAAGGGTGAGAGTGGATTTGTGGTTCCTCGGAATCTAATAGAATGAATTAGCTAAACGGAGGAAAAGAAATTGGATGAGATTCAGGGCTTGCCTTTGGCTAACCTGCTTTGTCTTAGTTCTCCTAAGAAAAACATCTTCTTTCCTAAAAGCTACAAGCTCACCTGCTTCCCCTTCAAATAGTCACCCATGTCACAATCCTATTAGTTCTTTTTTTCTTTATTACGGTACACTCAGGGGAATTTTACTTATATTTTTCCTCTGATTTTTTTAAAACCCCTCCCTCCCTCCCTCCTTCCTTCCTTCCTTCCTTCCTTCCTTCCTTCCTTCCTTCCTTCCTTCCTTCTTTCCTTCCACCCTCCCCCCTGTCTCTCCTTCTCCCTTCTCTCCTTCCTTCCTTTCCCCATTCTCATTTTCTTTCCTTCCTTCCTCCCTTCCTCCCTTGCTCCCTGCCTCCTGTCTCTCCTCCCTCCCTCCCTTCTTCCTTCTCTCCTTCCTTCCTTTCCCCATTCTCATCTTCCTCCCTCCCCTCCCCCTTTTCCCTTCCTTCCTTCCTTCCTTCCTTCCTTCCTTCCTTCCTTCCTTCCTTCCTTCCTTCCTTCCTTCCTTCCTTCCTTCCTTCCTTCCTTCCTTCCTTCCTTTTTCCCCCACATTAAATGAGAGGTCAAACATACTGGAAAATAACTTTGCCTAGCTTTGGTTTCTGTGGAGCCACATGACTGCAATCACATTTGGTGGAGTCTTGCAAACCGATTCTAGTGTTCTGTGAAAACGAGTGCTTCTTAAACTTGAATTATCAAACGGCCTGTTTATTTTGTTTCTAAGCAGAATCAATTAGTCCTCCTGATTAAAGTAAGATGCCTGCCACAGATCTTGAGCAGACACAGGCATCTTGGTGCTGGTTGCTGCAAATTAAGCTGGAATGAACTCAGAAAAACAAAGCAAGTGTTAAAATCAAAAGTCAATGGTTTTTGGATTAGCCACTGAAGTATTTTTTAATTTTATTTTTCTTGCTTTCTCATAATTGGTATTCAAGGTATGAGATGCTGTTTTTGTGTTGGCTTAGTTCACCGTATGGTTATTTTAAAAATGGGACACAATATTCTTGCAGTGATTTTCCAGGTTTCACACTTATTTTAATAGTGGTCACTTCATCAAATCAGGGCATTGTGAATATGTGATTCCTGACTGTCCGGAACACCCAGGAAATCCAAACTGGATCCAAGGGAGCATCAAAGCCTTGGACATAAAAACATAACAAGTGGGGAAAAATGATTTTTAAAAAGGCAAGAGGGAAAAATAATCTAAACCTGGATTGCTGCTGCTGCTTCTCCAGAAAATATTCAATTGGGAACATGTACATGTTCACCTGTTCCATCAAACCTGTTTCAAGAGATGACGCGATAATCTTCAAATAAAATTCTAGGAATCAAGTTGTTTAGCTATTGGATCCCTTCTTTTGATCCAGTCACAATTGCATACATATTCTTGGGTGGTCAGGGCGTCTAATGGCTGAAACAAACATTGATTGTGCAGAAATGATGTGAACTTGCAATTCCTTCTGACGGTTCCGACTTCCCTCCCTGGAGACTGAAGATTGGCTGAAATGTCTGTGGAAGGAATAGGAAAGCAAACTTTGTCACTTTTTGGCTAGTCTTAAGAGGTGTGGTTAGCTTCTACATTAGGGTTTCTCAATCTTGGCAAGCTTGAAGATGGGTGGGTGTCAACTCCCAGAATTCCCCAGCCAGCCACCTGGCTGGCTGGGGAATTCTGGGAGTTGACACCCACCCATCTTCAAGCTTGCCAAGATTGAGAAACCCTGTTCTACATTGTTCAAAATTAATTGGAGTCACCCATCCAGAGTGGGCCAGGAAAAACAGTTGCAGGAATTGGCCATGTCTGATCTAGTTTAATAATAATAAAAAAAAGATTAGGTGAGATATGATAGCAGTTTTCCAATATTTGAGGGGCTGCCACAAAGAAGAGGGGGTCAACCCATTTTCCAAAGCAGCCGAAGGCAAGGCAAGAAACAACGGATGGAAACTGAACAAAGGAGAGAGAGAAGTAACCTAGAACTAAGGAGAAATTTCCTAACAGTGAGAAGAATTAACCAGGTGAANTTCCTTCCTTCCTTCCTTCCTTCCTTCCTTCCTTCCTTCCTTCCTTCCTTCCTTCCTTCCTTTCCCACATTAAATGAGAGGTCAAACATACTGGAAAATAACTTTGCCTAGCTTTGGTTTCTGTGGAGCCACATGACTGCAATCACATTTGGTGGAGTCTTGCAAACCGATTCTAGTGTTCTGTGAAAACGAGTGCTTCTTAAACTTGAATTATCAAACAGCCTGTTTATTTTGTTTCTAAGCAGAATCAATTAGTCCTCCTGATTAAAGTAAGATGCCTGCAACAGATCTTGAGCAGACACAGGCATCTTGGTGCTGGTTGCTGCAAATTAAGCTGGAATGAACTCAGAAAAACAAAGCAAGTGTTAAAATCAAAAGTCAATGGTTCTTGGATTAGCCACTGAAGTATTTTTTAATTTTATTTTTCTTGCTTTCTCATAATTGCTATTCAAGGTATGAGATGCTGTTTTTGTGTTGGCTTAGTTCACCGTATGGTTATTTTAAAAATGGGACACAATATTCTTGCAGTGATTTTCCAGGTTTCACACTTATTTTAATAGTGGTCACTTCATCAAATCAGGGCATTGTGAATATGTGATTCCTGACTGTCCAGAACACCCAGGAAATCCAAACTGGATCCAAGGGAGCATCAAAGCCTTGGACATAAAAACATGACAAGTGGGGAAAAATGATTTTTAAAAAGGCAAGAGGGAAAAATAATCTAAACCTGGATTGCTGCTGCTGCTTCTCCAGAAAATATTCAATTGGGAACATGTACATGTTCACCTGTTCCATCAAAGCTGTTTCAAGAGATGACACGATAATCTTCAGATGAAACTCTAGGAATCAAGTTGTTTAGCTATTGGATCCCTTCTTTTGATCCAGTCACAATTGCATACATATTCTTGGGTGGTCAGGGCGTCTAATGACTAATGGCTGAAACAAACATTGATTGTGCAGAAATGATGTGAACTTGCAATTCCTTCTGACGGTTCCGACTTCCCTCCCTGGAGACTGAAGATTGGCTGAAATGTCTGTGGAAGGAATAGGAAAGCAAACTTTGTCACTTTTTGGCTAGTCTTAAGAGGTGTGGTTAGCTTCTACATTAGGGTTTCTCAATCTTGGCAAGCTTGAAGGTGGGTGGGTGTCAACTCCCAGAATTCCCCAGCCAGCCACCTGGCTGGCTGGGGAATTCTGGGAGTTGACACCCACCCATCTTCAAGCTTGCCAAGATTGAGAAACCCTGTTCTACATTGTTCAAAATTAATTGGAGTCACCCATCCAGAGTGGGCCAGGAAAAACAGTTGCAGGAATTGGCCATGTCTAATCTAGTTTAATAATAAAAAAAAAAAGATTAGGTGAGATATGATAGCAGTTTTCCAATATTTGAGGGGCTGCCACAAAGAAGAGGGGGTCAACCCATTTTCCAAAGCAGCCGAAGGCAAGGCAAGAAACAACGGATGGAAACTGAACAAAGGAGAGAGAGAAGTAACCTAGAACTAAGGAGAAATTTCCTAACAGTGAGAAGAATTAACCAGGTGAATGGCTTGCCTCCAGAAATCATGGGCGCTCCCTCACTGGAGGCTTTTATGAAGAGACTAGACAGCCATTTGTCTGAAACGGTATAGGCTCTCCTGCTTAAGCAGGGGGTTGGACTAGAAGACCTCCAAGGTCCCTTCCAACTCTGTTATTCTGTTATTCTATATTCTGCTCCTTTAATCCTGCTCCTTAAGGATTTTAGGTGCTTAGTTGCTTCGAATAAAAGCAGTTTCTTCCTTCTATTTTTCCTCTAGTAACATTGGCGATACTCACTCCTGCCAGCTATTCAGTTATCTCAAAAAGGTTGAGCTGTCCACCTTGTATAATCTCTGTCTCTGCCCTTTTGTCACCCGGTCCAGTGTTCCATCGAGTGCGGCAGTGGCACCCAGCAGAGGGAGGTCGTCTGTATCCGGAAGACCGAGAACCACTTCGAGATGCTGAATCCCCACGAGTGCGCCTTCCTGCAAAGACCCCCCAGCCAGCAGACCTGCAACCTCAAACCTTGTGGTGCCAAGTGGTTCAGTACCGAATGGAGCGCTGTATGTACCTCGGTGCTTTTCCCACTCTTTCTTTGTGCCACAGTACAGGTAGTCCTCAACGTACGACAACATTGGGGACCAGGATGCCTGTGGTTAAGTGAGTCTGATTGTATGACCTTTTTTTGGGGGGCCACGATTGTTAAGCAAATCTCTGCCGTTGTTAAGTGGACCATGCGGTTGTTAAGTGAATCTGGCTTCCCTTATTGACTTTGCTTGACGGTGGCCCAATGGGAAGATTGCAGATCACATGATCCCGGGATGTGCAACTGTTGTAAATAAATGCTGGTTGTTGAGCGCCCAAATTTTGAGCACCTGGCTGTGGGGATGCTACGATCAGTGGTGGGATCCAGCCAGTTCGCACCACTTCGACAGAATCGGTAGCTAATTTTTTGTTGCCCAGGCCCAGAATAGATTTCCGGAAGTGGCATCCACACAGAGAACCGGTTGTTCACATATTTGAATCCCACCACTGGCTATGATGGTCATACGTGTGAAGGCTGATTGTGGTATTTTTCAGTGTTGTAGCATCGGATTGTTGCTAAACAAGTGGTCGTAAGTCAAGGATTACTTGTACAATGTGCTGCTGATGCTGAAGCTATTTTTGAACTTTTGGACTCAGGGCTTAGGAGCCGTGGTGGCACAGAGGTTAAATGCAGTATTGCAGGCTAATTCTACGCACTGCCAGCAGTTCAATCCTGACTGGTTCCAGGTTGACTCAGCCTTCCATCCTTCCGAGGTTGGGTAAATGAGGACCCATTTTGTTGGGGGCAAGGGTTTGGCTAGTCTAGAGAAAAGAAGGACTAAGGGGGACATGATAGCAGTATTCTAGTATTTGAGGGGCTGTCACAAAGAAGAGGGGGTCACGTTATTCTCCAAAGCACCAGGACAAGAAACAATGGTTGGAACCAAAGAGAGAAGCAACCTGGAATTAAGGTTAATTAAGGAATTAACTTCCTGGCAATGAGGACAATTAACCAGTGGAACAGAAGTTGCCTCCAGAAATCATGGGCGCTCCATCACTGGAGGTTTTTAAGAAGAGACTAGACAGCCACTTGTCTGAAATGATATAGGGTCTCCTGCTTGAGCCAGGGGGTTGGACTAGAAGACTTTCAATGTCCCTTCCAGCTCTATTTTGATTGAAGATGCTGACTCCGAAAAACCACTTAGAGAAGGCTGTAAAGGACTGTGAAGCGGTATATAAGTCTAAGTTCTAATGCTATAAAAACGTTCTTTAACAAATAATTTAAAAATGGGAAGATTGCGGGTGAAGTTAGCTCCTTGTAGATTTTGATGCTTCGGTCATAAAGCAAGAATGTGGTCTTGTTCTGGCCTCTGCTGCTTTCACTGCTTGTTTCTGCAGTCATAAATTCTTCCTTTATTCACCACTCATTGGTCGAATCAGTCCATTCTCTCTGTGCTGTCTAAAGTGGCATTTTTGCTGCGTTCCCAGTCGCAGCAGGAACCAAAATGCAAACTTAAGGTTTGGCTTAATTAAAAAAATGTACATTAAGAACATTACTCTCAGAAACACTTGAGATAGTTTGCAGACTAAAGATAAATGCACTGATTAAGGTAAGCATATAATAACCCAGGGTATTATTTACATTTGCAGCTTTTGGTCTTCCCAGAAACTCAGTTTGGCTCACTCTGCTGTTCTTAGCCTAATCTCAGGAAGGGAATCGGTCAGAGAACGGGTGACTGGCCCAGGGTCATCTGAAGAACCACTCAGCTCAGTGGGGATCTCTGCACATCGCCTCACGGGCTGAGGCTGAGTCTCACACAGAATTAAAAATTTACATTTGCAGCTTGGGTTCTCAAAACAAGGAATTGGTTAAATCAGTTGGTTAAGTATGACTCCCAGACTTAGAGGAGGCAATGCAGGTTTTAGAAGCTGCAGTTCAAGAGACAGACAGACAGATGGATAGGCAGGCAGGCAGGCAGGCAGGCAGGCAGGCAGGCAGGCAGGCAGGCAGGCAGGCAGGCAGGCAGGCAGACAGACAGATAGATACATAGATGGATGGATGGACGGACGGACGGACGGACGGACGGACGGACGGACGGACGGACGGACAGACAGACAGACAGACAGACAGACAGACAGACAGACAGACAGACAGACAGACAGATAGATAGATAGATAGATAGATAGATAGATAGATAGATAGATCACCCAACCTCACCACAATGCTTTTGCTTGTTGCTTTTGCAGTGTTCCAAGTCGTGCGAAGGCGGCTTCCGAATCCGGGAGGTGCGATGTCTGTCAGATGACATGTCCCCAAGTACCAAATGTGACTCCCAGCTGAAGCTGGTGGAAAAGGAATCCTGCAACACCCAGGACTGCATGCCTGACATAGGTAAGAAACCTGGTCTTGTTTTTCTAACCATGGATCTCCATCTAGTGGAGAAAGAAAGAAATCTATTTATGCCCCTGAGGTTACGAAGGCAGTTCTTGGATAGATGGATAGATGATTGTAACCAGAGCTAAATGTATCTCTCTTTTAAAAAAAAATTAGAATGAAAAGATGGACGGGTGGATAGATAGATAGATGGATGGAAGATAGATGATAAATAGATGACAGATAGATAGGCATAGATAATAGATAGATTCCTGTATGAATGTATGGATGAGTGGATGGATGGATGGTTGGATGGATGGATGGATGGATAGACACACACACAGAGAGAGAGAGACAGACAGCTTTTGAGTCAGCGGTCAGGGTCCTGATGATCGCCTGGACCAGACCTTGCAGTCTTGTTGAATTCTGTGCATTGAAGCCCTCAAGTCTTAAAGTCGTCAAGGTTGGAGACCCCTGCTTTAAGAGCTCTTTCTGATGTTCTGCTTCCAGATGAAAACTGCAAAGATAAATACTACAACTGCAACGTTGTGGTGCAAGCCCGCCTCTGCGTCTACACCTATTACAAGACGGCCTGCTGCATATCCTGTTCCAGAGTGGCGAATCGGCAGTCGGGCTTTTTGGGGAGGCGATAACAGCTGCTCCATCCCGGGCTTCTGACCTGTGCCTCAGCTCCCGCAAGCTGCTTTCACAACACTTCTACCTTTCCAAGAGTGGTTCTTTTCCCCCCATAATGATGGGCACCTCTGAAGGGGTGATGGAAGCACCTCTGGGGGAATATCACTAACACACACTGTAATAAAAATGTTGGGGAAACCCATGCTGTAACGCTGGACCTTCAAAGCTTTAGGCATGAGGATACATGCTGATGGATGGATGGATGATCTGCCATCAGGTCATTGATGACTCCTAGCAACCTCATAGATTTTCTCCATGTCAACCTGTTGTCCCTCACCTAGTTTTTCAGCTCTTCAGGATGCATGACAAGAGAGGTGGTCTTCAAACTCACAACCAGAATTGGGACTGGAATTTACGTCGTAAGTCATTGCGGTTGTTAATCGACAGTAGAAGGCACGGGGGCTGATAGAAATCTGGCACTTCTGGGATGAAGTGGGAGAGGTCTTTGCATTGTCACTTTTGATGAAGCTCATCTGACTGGGTACTGCCCCTGGCAAAGAGACTTGACCATTAGCTGTTGACTAGGTTAGAAATGTTATCCGAGCAAGACTACCTGGCATCTCACAAACTCTTTGAAGGGCAGGGACAGATCTGGAAGAACCTCATGCAAACAACTCCTGGTTGGCTTGACTTGAGTCAAGTTGACCTACCCAACCCATGTTCTCTTTGACTTATGAAAAGGCAACTTCATGGAAGGCTGTGCAGGGGAGGAATGTTTTATGTAGAAATGGATTCCTTCCCCTCCTCACCCCACAACTCTTGCAGAATGGTGGAGTGGTTTTTTCCCCCCAATTATTTCAGTTGTCTTCCAGTAAACAAGCATGTTGTTTCAGGTTCACCACATTCCTTTCTTCAGCTATGGAACAAGTTTAAGGTACCCACGTTTCTGGCCTCCATGTTTCATTTGTAGGATCGTTCCACCAGACTTCCATCTGGGCTAAGAACATTTGCTGAGTTCTGTCATTTCCATTCCCTGTTCTTGGAGAAGTGGAGAACAAGCTCCCTTATTCTGGGTTTCAACATAACTATGTTTATATCACCAAGTGATTGCTTTTGATTTCCAATCCAGCCACTGAGAAATGAATCAGGGTAGATCTCCCACAGCATCCTTCATTTCTGGACCCAGAAATAGACATCTCAAGGGCGTGTCTTGCTCATTTCGAAGAGAAGAAGAATTAGGAACTCAGATTTCATTTCTGATGCTGATTTTAGCTCAAGAAGAAAAGATTTTTACTCATTTCACCTCTCCCCCAACCCTCATTTTAGCTCAGATCACAGTTGACTTTGCAGTAAACAAGACCAGCCCCTGGTTTGGAGAAAATTAGCTTTGTTTATGCCCGGATCCATACGAAGCTAGCGAGATTTCTCATCAATGTTCAACAGAGGCATGAAAACTAAGCCAGATTTAGGCAACTTGCAGAATGAGAGACTCACCTCCCATTCCCTGTGCCAATTAACCTAAAATTAACTCCATCTGGCAAAATAAAGAAGGATATACTTTTTTATAACTTATTTTTTTATATTTGTAAATATAAGATGTTTATAGGAAAGTATGTATTCTAAAGCCACTACAACAAAATAGTTCTATTATTTAGAAAGTGATTTTTTTTGTGGTGTATTTTTAACAAACAAAAAAAGGGACTAAAATTGTATTTATTTATATATTCCACTGCCATGTCTGTCCAGTTTTTTTGGTAATACTAATCAGCTTTTAGCCTGGAAATTCTATACCATGTTGAATATATCAGTATCATGCTTTAATCCATATTTAGTGGGTATGTTTTCTAATTCCATGGTTAATCATCTGTTTTTACAAATGGCTTCTTGTGTTCAAAAGTGAGAGATGTATAAGTTAAAAGGACCTCTAGATTAGTTCAGGATTTATATGCTCAGCACCTGGACTGTATTTGTACAGCATCCTTTAATATTTGTATACATATTCGCCAGTGAGGAAAAAAAGGTATTTTTGCTTATGACTAATTTATTTTTTACTATTGTGAAAAAGTAATAAAGACATGAAATAAATGTCCTTGGCTTCTTTTATAGTTTTGCCTCCTCCTCCTCCTCCTCCTCCTCCTCCTCCTCCTCCTCCACTTAATTTCTTTAAAAAAATAAAAGGATAACAATAATCTTCTCTTAATTTGCTCCATAGATGCCACAAGTATACAATTAATTTTCATTCACATTCAGTTGCATCTTGACCACCAGCATTCACCAAGATTTTTCCCCCCGTCATTCATTCTATGGTTTTGCCGCCTTGATTTCTCCTCTTGATTTAAAGTTTCTATATTTAGGTGTAGCCTACCTGTAAAAACCTGTATCAGTTTGCTATGGGCAGGTGGAGCAAGGTGTGATACCCCTGCTATGCTTTTCCCAATATTGGAATATTGGGAAATTTCCTGAATTTGAATATTCGTAAATTTCTTTGAGGGATCGCTTTCCAACACTTACGTCATTTTGGAATCTGTTTGAAAATGTCTCTGTTGGGCAGCTCTTCCAAAAGGGTTAATGCACAAATTTGGGGGACATTTTCACCATTCTTCCCCCCCCTTTTTTTTTTTGCTCTGATTTTTAAGGCAATCACAGCCTATTGAAAGCAGGTTGGCACCAGACGACCAAAAAAAAAAAAAAAAAAAAAGGCCAGAGACTTACAATACCTTTTATTCAGTTTTTCTTCCATTACCAAATGCTGCTGTCACTTAGGAAGGGTTTTTTTTTGAGAAAGGAAGAATGTGGAGTGATCAAAATTATAGGGGACTGATGAGGAAATTAGGATAAAATCTGATCTTTTTAAAATTTTAATACAGATTTCCTTGATGTCCTCTTTCACGCAAAAGATATTTATGTCAGGTTTCTTGTTATAAGTTGTCTTTCTATCTCCCTTTCCTTCTTCTAATGCGATTGCTGTTGCTAGTGGCACTAAGGATCTCTTCATATATATTTTTTTTAAAAAGGATAGGTCTTTAATGTCACAACCCCATCTTGATTTTTTTGTGTGTGTGCATTCCAAAGAATACAGCCCACAAAATAATGTGTTTTTCAGACTAGTTTTCAACCAGAGAATAATGAATGCTACTGTATTCATTAAATGCTATTAACTGTCCTGTAGCGTAGTTTTGGTGAGTCTCTCGCAAATTGTATAGAAATCCTTCACTATTTACTTATTTGTTTGTTTGTATGTTTGCCTTCTTTTTTTTAAAAAAAAATTGTTCTGCAATTTTCTCAAGAGCCCCCTTCAAAGAAGAGATTTCCAGCACATGTGGTTCCTCGTGCCCATTCTTGGTGAAATTGTCCACCTCAGCTTGATGGTGATGGCTCTCTTAAGTCTTCAAATGCCCTAAAGTGGGAAGAAGATAAAAGGATCTAGCCTGGGACTCACAGAAATTTGTTGCCAATTCCCTCCCTGGGCTCCANTCCTCCTCCTCCTCCTCCTCCTCCTCCTCCACTTAATTTCTTTAAAAAAATAAAAGGATAACAATAACCTTCTCTTAATTTGCTCCATAGATGCCACAAGTATACAATTAATTTTCATTCACATTCAGTTGCATCTTGACCACCAGCATTCACCAAGATTTTCCCCCCCGTCATTCATTCTATGGTTTTGCCGCCTTGATTTCTCCTCTTGATTTAAAGTTTCTATATTTAGGTGTAGCCTACCTGTAAAAACCTGTATCAGTTTGCTATGGGCAGGTGGAGCAAGGTGTGATACCCCTGCTATGCTTTTCCCAATATTGGAATATTGGGAAATTTCCTGAATTTGAATATTTGTAAATTTCTTTGAGGGATCGCTTTCCAACACTTACGTCATTTTGGAATCTGTTTGAAAATGTCTCTGTTGGGCAGCTCTTCCAAAAGGGGGGACATTTTCACCATTCTTCCCCCCCCTTTTTTTTTTTCTCTGATTTTTAAGGCAATTACAGCCTATTGAAAGCAGGTTGGCACCAGACGACCCAAAAAAAAAAAAAAAAAAAAAAAGGCCAGAGACTTACAATACCTTTTATTCAGTTTTTCTTCCATTACCAAATGCTGCTGTCACTTAGGAAGGTTTTTTTTTTTGAGAAAGGAAGAATGTGGAGTGATCAAAATTATAGGGGACTGATGAGGAAATTAGGATAAAATCTGATCTTTTTAAAATTTTAATACAGATTTCCTTGATGTCCTCTTTGGGTATATCATTTTTATTCACGCAAAAGATATTTATGTCAGGTTTCTTGTTATAAGTTGTCTTTCTATCTCCCTTTCCTTCTTCTAATGCGATTGCTGTTGCTAGTGGCACTAAGGATCTCTTCATATATTTTTTTTTAAAAAGGATAGGTCTTTAATGTCACAACCCCATCTTGATTTTTTGTGTGTGTGCATTCCAAAGAATACAACCCACAAAATAATGTGTTTTTCAGACTAGTTTTCAACCAGAGAATAATGAATGCTACTGGATTCATTAAATGCTATTAACTGTCCTGTAGCGTAGTTTTGGTGAGTCTCTCGCAAATTGTATAGAAATCCTTCACTATTTACTTATTTGTTTGTTTGTATGTTTGCCTTCTCTTTTTTTAAAAAAAAATTTGTTCTACAATTTTCTCAAGAGCCCCCTTCAAAGAAGAGATTTCCAGCACATGTGGTTCCTCGTGCCCATTCTTGGTGAAATTGTCCACCTCAGCTTGATGGTGATGGCTCTCTTAAGTCTTCAAATGCCCTAAAGTGGGAAGAAGATAAAAGGATCTAGCCTGGGACTCACAGAAATTTGTTGCCAATTCCCTCCCTGGGCTCCA